GGAACCCTAAGTGTCAAATGAAGGGATAAAGAACTTGATCAACCACCAAACGGAGTAAGAAACTAACAGAGAACAGAGAACGAGGAGAGCCATGGAGTGGAGGTCCCCTACCAGCTAATGCAGCATGGATTCGCCATCTTGGACTACAGACGCCAAGGGACATAGGAAGTACAGGAAGGCAACTTCATGGAGCTCCCAAAAGGAGACAAGAGCACCCGGTAAATAGGGATACATACTTTCCCACACCCACCCTTCTTCCCTCTATGTGGCCCCCGCAGCAGCTTTCTAATGGGCCCCGGTCACTTGGCTGGAGACACACCAGCTCACTGCCGCCTGCGTCCGCCCTGGGCCCACTGGCCAGCTCCTTTAGCACCATATGTATATACGTACATATACATATATTTTGGTTTTGGGTATTTCTCTCTCCCTTCCTTTCTTTCTACTGCCCACGTAACCCTATGCACTGCCCTCCCCCTTCTCGATGGGCAACGTTGCACCGCTCGGCTAGAAATCCACTGGCACACAGCCTCCCAGGGTCCCTTCCACCTCCACCAGTTAGCTCTTTTGGCACGATAGTTTTTGTTTTGTTTCTTCTCTATTCCTTCCTTCCTTTCCTTTCTCCTGTCCACCAAGTCCCATGTGCCGATCCCACCCCTTCTTGACCAACCGTGCTGCACTGCTTGGCTAGAAACCCACCAGCACACGGTTTCCCTGGGTTCGTACCACCCTCACCAGGTGGCTCCCTCAGGGACTTACATTTTTGTTGTGTGTTTGTTTCTTCTCTCTCCCATTCTTTCCTGTCTCTCACTCACCGAGCCCTGTGCACTGGCCCCACTCCTTCTTGGAGGACCTTACTGCGCCGCTCAGCTACAGAGCCACCGGCACATGGCCTCCCCGGGTCTGCACTACCACCATCACCCAGCTCCCTCACTGCCACTTTTTAGTTTGTTTGCTTTTTTTCCCCTCTCTCTCTCCCTTCCTTCCTTTCTCCCAACCGCCTAGTGCTGTATGCCACCTGTGCGCCTTCTCCAAGGGTCGTGCTGCACCACTAGGCTTGAGAGTCACTGGCACACGGCCTCCCTGGATCTGCGCTGCTGTCCCCGACTGGCTCCCTCAGCATCATTTGTTTTGTGTTTGTTTCTTTTTGTGGTTGTTTCTTCTCTCTCCCTTCCTTCTTTCCTTTCCCCCACCCACCTAGGTCTGTGTGCCATTGCCCCTTCTCAACAGGCTGTGTTGCACCACTCTGCTAGAGAGCCTCTGGCATATAACCTCCCGGGGTCTGTGCCACCTCCACAAGCCAGCATGTTCAGCACCATATTTTTTATTTTTCTTTATCTTTCCCCTTCTCCCCATTCCTTGCCCCTCCCACTTAGGCCAAGCACTGCCTCTGCCACATCCTGATGGGCTGTGCCATGCTGCCCAGCAAGACAGACATCAGTTTGCTGCCACGCCAATTCCACCTCGCCCCCGATAGCCAGCTCCCTCAGCACCATAATTGGTTTTTTGTTTTGTCTGTCTTTCCCTTATTTCCTTTCCTTTCTCACGCTCACCTACTTCCACAGGCTGCCCATATCCCTTCTCAACAGGCCAAGCTGAATCGCTCAGCAAGAGAGCCATTGGCACACAGCATCATTGGATCTGCCCTGCCCCCACCTATCAAATCCTACCGTGCCATTTTATTTACTTTTTTCTTTTTTTGGCTTTTTTCCTTTTTTCTCTCATCTGTTTTGCTCCACCAATACATCATTCTCCTTTCCCTCCTGCCTATCTGCACTCTGAGCCAAGCACTGCACCCCTGAGTGGCACTGGAACAGAGCCTTGGTCTCCACCACATACAGCCCCCAACCCCTACCCAACCCCACTGGACCTGTGCTATTGCACCATAGCTGAGCTCACCTAGACACAGTGGTGATAAGTATCATGCCCACAGATGGACAAGCAACAAAACACACCCAGCCCCCTAACAGATAAAACCAAATAAAAAAGTAGGACGAAACAAACAAATCTACAATCAATAAATGAAGAAAATAATTCCTGAGAGTCCCCAAGACAGCAGACAATATCAAAACATAGAAAAAACAGGATAGGACAGCTCTAGAAAGGGACCAAAATAAAACAACAGACGATCTTCTTGTCGAAAATCTGAACAGATCCATAACAAGAGAAGAGACTGAAAAGGTAATTAAAAAAAAAACTCCCAACAAAAAAAAAGCTCTGGCATAGATGATTTCACACAAGAATTTGACCAAACATTCAGAGATGCACTCACACCAGTATTACTCAAACTATTTCAGAATACAAAAAAGGAATACTTCCAAATTCATTCTATGGAGACAGCATAATCCTGATACCAAAACCAGGCAAACACACCACAAAAAAAAAAAAAAAAAAAAAATTACAGATCAATACCTCTTATGAATATACATGCAAAAATTCTCAACAAAATTCTAGCCAATAGAATTCAGCACTACACACACAAAGAATAATATACCCTGACCAAGTGGGATTCATACCAGGTACGTAAGGATGGTTCAACATAAGAAAATCAATCAGTGCAATCAACCACATAAATAAAACAAAAGGAAGAATCACATGATCATCTCAACCGGTGTAGAAAAGATACATATTCGATAAAGTCCAACACTCACTCCTGATTAAAAAAACTCTCAATAAAACAGGTATAGAAGGGAAATTCCTTAACATAATAAAGAGTATCTATACAAAACCAACAACTGATATCATTCTCAACAGAGAGAGGCTGAAAACATTTCCCTTAAGAACAGGAAAAACACACGGATACCGTTTATCACCACTCTTAATTAACACTATGCTGAAGTCCTAACTAGAGCAATAAAGCAAGAATGAGAAATACAGAGCATCCAAATTGGTAAGGAAGAAGTAAAAACTATCCCTATTTGTGGATGATATGATACTAGAGAACTCAAAAGACTCCACAAGAGAACTACTGAAACTAATAGAAGATTCAGCAGAGTAGCAGGATACAAGATAAACATAAAAAATCAGTTGAATTCCTATATACCAATAAAGAGAACTACAAAAAGGAAATCAAGAAAGCAATACTGCTTATACTACTCCCCCTGCCCCCCGCCAAATTAAAATACTTAGGAATAAATCTAACCAGGGACATAACAGACTTATAAAAGAAAACTACAAAACATTTCTGCAAGAAACCAAAAGAGACCTACATAAACGGAAAAACATAACATGCTTATGGATAGGTAGACTCAACGTTGTGAAAAGGTCAATTTTACCCAAAGCAATCTACAAATACAATGCAATCCCAATTCAAATACCAACAGCATTCTTTAACAAGATGGAAAAACTAATTATTAACTTTATATGGAAAGGAAAGAGATCCCAGAAAGTAACCGATTATTGAAGAATAATAAAGTAGGAGGACTCGCACTAGCTGACCTCAGAACCTACTATACAGCTATAGTAGTCAAAACAGACACATTGACCAATGGAACAGGATTGAGAACCCAGATATAAGTCCACCTATAGTCACCTGATCTTTGACAAAGGCCCAAAGTTCATTAAATGAGGAAAAGACAGTCTTTTTAACTAATGGTGCTGGCAAAACTGGATGTCTACCTGTCAATAAATGAAACAGGACCCATACCTCACACCATATACAAAAACTAATTCAAAATGAATTAAAGGCCTAAATATAAAACCTAAAACTATAAAGACCATACAGACTGGGAAAAAAATTTTGGCTAGTACAAATCCAACAAAGGTCTCATCTCTAACACCTCTATAACAAAAAGACAAACAATCTAATTAAAAAATGGGCAAAGCATATGAACAGACCCTTCACCAAAAAACATATTCAGGCACTAACAGACATGTGAGGAAATTCTCACAATTACTAGCCATTAGAGAAACGCAAATCAAAATACAATGTGAAACCATCTCACCCCAACATTGCTGGCACAAATCATTAAAACAGAAAAATAACAAATGTTGGAGAGGCTGTGGAGAGACTGGAACTCTTATGCACTGCTGGTGTGAACGTAAAATGGTACAACCATTTTGAAAAATGATATGGTGCTTCCTTAAAAAGCTAGAAATAGAAATACCATATGATCCAGCAATCCCACTCCTAGGAATATGTCCTAGAGAAATAAGAGCCGTGACACAAATAGACACATGCACAGCCATGTTCACTGCAGCATTATTCACAACAGCAAAAAGATGGAAACTACCTAAGTGCCCATCAACAGATAAATGGATAAACAAACCAGGCCACATATATACAATGGAAATCTATCCAGCAATAAAGAACAATGATGAATCTGTGCAACATTTCACAGCATGGATGAATCTGGAGGCCATTATGCTGAATGAAATAAGTCAATCACAAACGGACAAATAATGTATGACACCACTATTACAAAAACTCATGAGAAGGTTTACACAAAGAAACAATCTTTAATGGTTACAAGGGAAGGGAGGGGTGGGGAGGGAAAAACACTAACTACACAATAGATAAGTGGTAAGTTTGGTGAAGGGTAACATAGTACGTAATACTGGGGACGTCAACACAAGTTGACCAAGGCAAGGTCATGGAAGCCCCACAGACACATGGAAACTCGCTGAGGGATCAAATTACTGGATGAAGGGGTGGGGACCATAGTCTCGGGGGACATCTAGCTCAAATGGCATAACATAGTTGATAAAGAAACTGTTCTACATCCTATTTTGGTAAGTAGTATCTGAGGTCTTAAAAGCTTATGAACAGCCATCTAAGATACTTCACTGGTCCCACCTCGTACGGAGCAAGGGAGAATGAGGAAAACCAAAGACACAAGGGAAAGATTAGTCCAAAGGACTAATGGACCACAACTACTATGGCCTCCATCAGACTCAGTCCAACACAACTAGATGGTGCCCACAATAGAGAGTACAGGTCAGAGCTGGAGAAAAATATAGAACTAAATTCTAAGTCACAAAAGAAGACCAGACTTACTATTGCGACAGAGACTGGAGAAACCCCAAGAGTATGGCCCTGAGACACAATTAAAGTATTTCTCGCCTGTGTGGATTCTATGATGGGTTTGAAGATTTGATCTATTTCTGAAGTACTTCCCACACTCTTCACATTTGAACGTTTTTTCTCCACTGTGCACTCTCTGATGGGTCAAAAGATGTGCAGACTGCCTGAAACACTTCCCACACTCCACACAATTGTAGGATTTCTCTCCTTTGTGGATTCTAAAATGAACCTGAAGATTTTGTCTAGTACCGAAGTACTTCCCACACTCTTCACATTTGTATGGCTTTTCTTTACTATGGACTCGTTGATGGGTTTGAAGGTTTGAATTCTGACAGAAACTCTTCCCACACTCTTCACATTTGAATGGTTTTTCTCCACTGTGGACTCTCTGATGGATCAAAAGATGTACAGCCTGCCTGAAGACCTTCCCACACTCTTCACAGTTATACGATTTCTCTCCTGTGTGGATTCTACGATGAGTTTGAAGATTCGATCTAATACTGAAGTACTTCCCACACTCTTCACATTTGAATGGTTTTTCTCCACTGTGGACTCTCTGATGGATGAGAAGTTGTGAGGCAACCCTGAAGCTCTTACCACACTTCTCACAATTAAAAGATTTCTCTCCTGTGTGGATTCTACGATGAGCTTGGAGATTTGATATACTTCTGAAGTACTTCCCACACTCTTCACATTTGAATGGTTTTTCTCCACTGTGGACTTTCTGATGGGTCAAAAGATGTGCAGCCTGCCTGAAGCACTTCCCACACTCCTGACAATTATAGGATTTCTCTCCTGTGTGAATTCTGTAATGAACATGAAGATTCTGTTTACTACAGAAGCCCTTCCCACACTCTTCACATTTGTATGGCTTTTTTTTATCATGAACTCGTTGATGGGTTTGAAGATTTGAATTCTGACAAAAACTCTTTCCACACTCTTCACATTTGAATGGTTTTTCTCCACTGTGGACTCTCTGATGGGTCAAAAGATGTATTGCCTGCCTGAAGCACTTCCCACACTCCTCACAATTATAGGATTTCTCTCCTGTGTGGATTTTATGATGAGTCTGAAGATTTGATCTACTACTGAAGTACTTCCCACACTCTTCACATTTGAATGGTTTTTCTCCACTGTGGACTTTGTGATGGATGAGAAGTTGTGAAGCAAACCTGAAGCCCTTTCCACACTCCTCACATTTGTATGGTTTCTCTCCTGTATGGACCATGCAATGAGTATTAAGTGCTGCTCTACGATGAAAGTTCTTACCACATGTATCACATCTGAATGGTCTCTCTCCAGTGTGGATTCTCTGATGTTCCCGTAAATGCGAAGGATACATAAAACCCCTCCCACATTCCTCACAATTATAAGGTTTCACTCCTGTGTGGCCTTTGTAATGAACATTAAGTGTTGCTCTATGCCTGAATCGTTTCCCACATTCCTCACATTTGTGTGGTTTCTCTAAAGTATGTGCATTAAGATAAGTTTGCAGATGTGAGCTCTGACTAACTTCCTTACCACACCCATCAAGCATATAGTAGTTCTTTCCCATGTGAACCCTATGATGGTTACGAAGACCTGATATATAACGGAAGCCTTTTCCACACTCACTACATGTGACAGACTTCTCTTTTGAGTATAATCGGTGATAAATATCAAAGCTGGGGACTTCACTGAAGGTTTCTATATACTCTTTACACTGGTAAGTTTTCCCTCCTGTGTGAATAATAAACAGTCCTCCTGCAACCAGAGAAGGTGAATCACCTTGTTTGTAGAACTGAGAATAATTTATCACAGAATCTTGACACCTGGTTAAGTCACTTGCAACTTGTTGCCAGATATGTGAGCCGGAAAGCTCCTCCTGTGCTCCTGCTTGTGGAACAGTCTCCATCTGCCTTGGGTTCTTGCCTCCTGTAAGGATAGAGAATTCAGATATAGATAGGTGAAAGATTTGTTGTGAATTTTTAAGACTTCACACTTAGATAGGGGATGAGACATTGCTTAACCCAGAGGAAGATCAGTTGATCTTCTCCACTGCATATCATGTTCTCTGGTTTACATGCATCAAAACCAAGAGCAGGTTCGCTGGCCTCCAACCCAGCAGGCATTAATAAGATCCATTACATCCAAATCCACCATGTGAGGTACAATTTAGAAATCAAAGCCTTAATTTAAAAAATTGGTAATATGATAGAAATTGTTCACCTGTTGCTATTTCTACTGAATGTCAGTTAGTGTAGAATCTTGGCCAGTAAATTACGTAGTTAGAAAAGTCATGCTGAAAATACAAACGAATTAATAAGGTGTATGTTTTGTTGTATATACGTTCACTACATTCAGTTTTTTTTTAAAGGTATATAAGCATTTTAAGGAAAGCAATAACACAATCAAAAGATTGCATATTTTCAGATTATTTTTAGTAAACCGCTCAATTAAATGGCATAACAATACCCTCTAAGGAAATTTTTACAGAAGAGAATGTCACTCTTCTCCCTGTAGGAAGAGTCAATTAAAAGCTGCCTCATTTTTGTTAGCAGACATTAAATTAGTTTGTGTAGAACTCTATCTTGGGTTATTTCATTGGAAATTTGCCCCAATGTCTAAGGAACTGAGAGGCCCTAGAATGGTTGAAATGACTTCCAGATTTAGGAGAAAACTACATCATCTCTTACTAACTAAAACACATCATATAAGCAAAGAGTGCTCCTTTAGCTCCTGCTGAGAAGATTTTTCCATGAGGACAAAGGAAAAAAAAAGCTGAACTCATAACATACACTATTCTCAAAGCTGGTGGTAATTCACAACTTCATGATCTCCAGGAAAAAAAGGGAACCAAAAAAGTGTCTATTGACAATAGACACACAGCTAGGAAGAATGAAAAGAACAGGGCACGGTGGAATTTTTTGAAAGCCAATCCTATAAAGGGAGTTACGTTCAGCCTAACTAATAAAGCCTGTTGACGGCCAATTCGCCACTGGCAATTTCCATCCCCCTTGACACTAAACTAAACACAGTACTTGTGACCATATGACATACTCTCTAGGTCATTTTTATTTCTTGTGTCTTTCTGACTACAATGCACTATTTCCGGCTTTATAACCATTTCCAGAAGAGCGCATGGCACATGGTGGGCATTCAACAAATGCATGGTGAATGAATAAATAAATCTGTCTGACGTTTTTGTGAACATTTAAGTCAAGTCACAGAAACAAAAAGGTGTTTCCAAGTAAGCTCTGTACAATAGGAAAGGAGCAGGAAACTGGAGTTTTGCTGGGAAATCGAAAGACTATACCAGAGACAGGGGTCCATCAAGAGTGATGCTGCTGAGGAGAAAATCAAAGGTAAAAAATCACTTCAGTGAAAAGAAAGTGCGGGGGCCTATCCACAGGTTCCTTTTGAGCCTTTTGGGCTGTCTCTTTGAAAATCTGTGCATGTAGAGAAACTGACCACTGACAACAAGTTTTCCAATTGAAGACTGCAGTCCATTAGTGAGCTGTAAAATAAATTTAAAGATTTGTAATAAGCATTAAAAAAAAGAGAAAAGAAAATATCAGAGCATAATGACAAGCCAAAAACAAAGTCATTATAAGAAATGCTTTCTGAAGTCGTATGTAAATCTATACAAACATGAAATGTTTCCACTGGTTACTGTAAAAGACACCTTTCTGACTATGGCTTAAGCTCGAAAATGTTGGAATAGTTTAGATGAGGAAGTCATTAAGTACTTAATTGAGGTAAACATTCTAATGGAACACTGACATGATCAGAAATATAAGCAACATTGAGCTGCGTGACCCATGTTCGTCTTATCTTAAGGTGGCCCCCTCTAGCACAAAGAAGGAGAAAACTAGGGGTAGTGATGTGGAGAGGACTTTGAAAGAGCAAATGGGTCACAGGTGTCAAATCTTGCAAAGGAAATTAACCTGGCCTGGTGGTGGTCTAAGTCCTCAGGAAAGAGATTTGTTTTTCTTCTTGGAGGGCCTGTCTCAGTAGACATGAGAATCCTCATATAAAAATGTAGTTTTTCATTCCAGAAATGAATATGTCCCTCTATAGAAGGCTCCAGGAAAGCATATTACTCAGCACAGTCACAACCACAATGCTTAAGTGTTTTCCTAGAATGTTGGTCAAGTCCGCGTGCGCACGCGCACACGCGCACACACACACTCACCACAGGGCACCCAAGAGAATAGAATTTGGGTAGGCATTCATCAGAAGACAAATTGTTCTGCAACAGCCTTATTCACTCTGATTCGTGCATCACCTATTAGCTATCTCCTTGACTCAGGAAGGCAGAGAGGTCCCTGTGTACATTAACTCAATTCCTTAAGTCAGCAAACACGTACAGATATCTGCCATGTATGAGGACAATTCTAGGCCCTGAGGAGTTAGCAATAAACAAAACAGACAAAAATTTTTCACTCTTGGAGATAACATTCCAGTAGGGGTGACAGGTGATAAGCAAATAAACAAAAACAGATGTGACAAAATAAGACAGGAGAGTAAAGAGAGGACAGTGTTTTAATAGGGTTGACAGACAAGGTTTCTCTCCTCATATTAAAACAGACCAGAGATGTGAATGAATTAAGGCATCCAATAAGCAGAATCATGGAGCCACAAAGATTTCCAAATTCCAATTCCCCAAACTGAGAATAAGTTAGGTTACATGGCAAAGAGAAATAATCTGATAGATGGAATTTAAGTTCCTAATCAGGTAACCTTCAATTAGGAAGATTATCCTAAAATATATGGTGGGCTCAATGTATTTAAATCGGTCCTTAAAAGTGGTAGAGGAGGCAGGAGATTAAGAGGAAAACGGGACCACAGAAGAATGGTCAGAATGATGCAATCTTGTTGTCTTTGCTGTTAAAGGACTAGGCCCACAGGCCAAGAAATTGGGCAGCTTCCAGAATCTGGAAAAGGCAAGGAAATGGATTTTCGCTACATTCTCCAGAAAACAAAGTAGCTCAGCTGACATCTTGATTTTAGCACAGTGAGGCCCATGTGAGACTTTTGACCTACAGAAATGTGAGCTAATTAATTTGTGTTGTTTGAAGCTGCTAAGTTTGCAGTTAACTAGTTTTAGCACCAATAAGAGACTAATACAACATCTGTGGTACATCTGAGAAACGAGGAGGGCAATGTGGTAGGCAGACACTGAACAGGAGGAAAAAGATAGTGAATTCAGAGAGGAAGTACGGCCTGAAGACCAGACCATGTAGGACTCTACGAAGCACTCTAAGAAACACCAAGACGTCACCAAGTGTTCTGAGTAGTGGAACGATGTAATTTTACTTATATTTCCCACAGATCACTTCGGTGGCTACGTGGTAAATGAAATTTAGGCGGGGAAGGTTGCAAGTGGGGCAATCAGTACAAAGGCTGTTGCAATAATCCGAGAGGTTTAGCAATTTGGATTAGGGTGATGGGAAGGGGGGGGGGCGGGGGCAGAAAGTAAAAGAAATGAAAGATAAATATAAGGATTCCCAGTACCTTCTTCTGAAATGAATTCCCTTCCGTTTGGATTGCTGTCTTCATCATCAAAAGCCTTTTCCCCCCCTTCTAAGTGACATATATGAGCCCTGGTGGTGCAATGGTTAAGTGCTCAGCTGCTAACCAAAAGGTAAGCAATCCGAACCCACCAACCGCTCCACGGGAGAAAGGTATGGCAGTCTTCTTCCACAAAGACTGAAGCCTTGGAAAGCCTATAGGGCAGCTCTGCTCTGTCCTACAGGGTCTCCATGAGTCGAAATCAATTTGATGGCAACAGGTTTGGTTTTGGGTGGAAGTGCCACATACCATGTATAAAGAGTTGGTTTACTGTGAACGATAAAAGTAACCGTTTTAAAATGAACACAGTAATGGTACAATTTACTGGCAATTTGTGTTCCTACTGCAAAGTCATAAAGTAATCAGAAGCAGTGTTTAGCCAACATTTCTCCTAAGATGATGCACCTGAAGAAATGCCATTTATTTCAAGATCCAGACACATACACGTAAATATGTATTACTGAAACATAGGTTGACCTACTTCTAAACCAATGTCTGCTTTCATTAAATCTCCTCTCACTGGCTTTCACACCACGCATGCAATTGGCTGCAGTGTGTGTTGCAATGTGCTCCTTCCTTCCTAATGAACCCTGATATTTTCCACTCTGTTTTATTTCTTAAAAAATTGTTGGTACGAGAGTCAGTTCCCCAAACTCAGGTGACCATTCCAAGACCATTCAAAACCTTGAAAATCTGAGGAGATAAAGACCCTCCAGAGAGGCTGTCCTCACCCACTGACACCAGGTTCCTGAAGTTCTCAACCATCACATCTCGGTACAGCTTCTTCTGGGCAGGGTCTAGCAGCCCCAGCTCCTCCTCAGTGAAGACCACAGCCACGTCCTTGAATGTCAACGATTCCTACAACATCAAGCACAAGGATAGTCAATCTTAGGACTATTGTCCACTTGAAAAGGTTGGAAGGATGGGAGAGGTTGTCCCAGATTTTGGCAAACATGAGTCATTGTGTACATTTTCCAGTCCTTCTCCTTCTATCCTGCCAATGCCATACACTGATTTTTCTTAGCTTCAACCAGACTGTGGCAATGTATGAAAGCCCTGGTATTTTTACTAGGTGTCCAGAGAGTAAACGCTAGAACTCTAAATGTTGCATGCTGGGACACACATAGTTTACTTTCTGATTCATATTGCCAACTGCTTCAGAAAAGATGGTCCATTTATTTTGTATATAATTTGTTAGCACCCATCATCCTCTTACCACACACTGACGCTGGTAGAACTATTTTTAATGCTTGCAAACTAATAAGGTTTCGGTATCCTATCTTGAACAGGTATGGAGTACATCCTTTCAACTCTCAGGGCACACACCACATTCATGAATTCCAACACTCAATAAACTGATCCGTAGCTACCATGCCCAAGTGCATACTCCAATGATCTATATCTTACTAGCCAGGTGACCTTGAACAACTTCCCATATTTATCTTAGCTTCCTTTTTGTATAATGGTTCAATGGTTTGTTCCACACAAGTTTCTTTCAAAGATAAACAAGGAAACAAACATACATGTATGTATATACACAGACACACATGCCACATCACTCCTAAGTGCATGAGACAGAATAAGTGCTTTATCAATGATAGCTATTACTATTAGTCACATTAACTGGTCTTCCTTGTGGGAATAAGGATATCATCCTATCACTGACAGTACTGTACTTCAGGACAGATCTTGAAATGTTCTTTTTGATGATGAATGCGATGTCATTCCTCTTTAATTTACCATTCCCTGCATAGTAAACCATATGATTGTCTGATTCAACATGCCCAATACTGGTCCATTTCAGCTCACTAATGCCTAGGATACTGATGTTTATGGGTTCCATTTAATTTTTGACAACTTCCAATTTTCCTAAATTCTGTATTCTGATTATTAATGGATGTCTGCAGCTGTTTCTTCTCCTTTTGTGTTGAGCAATATCAGCAAATGAAGGTCTCTGAAGCTTGACTCCATTCACGTCATTAAGGTCAACTCTACTTTGAGGAGGCAGCTCCTCTGCAGTTGTCTCAAGTGCCTTCCAACCCGAGGGGCTCATCTTCCGGCACTATAGCAGCAATGTTCCACTGCTACTGATGAGGTTTTTGCTGGCCAATTTTTTTCAAAAGCAGATTACCAGGTCCTTCCCCCTAGTCTGTCTTAGTCTGGAAGCTCCACTGAAACCTGCATACCAAGGATGACTCTGATGGTATCTGAAATATCAGTGGCAAAGCTTCCATTATCACAGCAACACACAAGCCACCACAGTACAACAAACTGACATTATCCAAATTTACACACCAACCACTAAGGCCAAAGATGAAGAAATTGAAGATTTTTACCAACTTCTGCAGTCTGAAATTGATCAAACATGTAATCAAGACACACTGATAATTACTGGCGACTGGAATACAAAAGCTGGAAACAAAAAGGACTGGTAGTTGTAAAATATGGCCTTGGTGATAAAAGGACGGTGGAGATCACATGATAGAATTTCATAAGACCAATGACTTTTTCATTGCAAATATCTTTTTTCAAAAATATGAACGGCAACTATACACATGGACCTCATTAAGCTGAATATACAGGAATCAAACTGACTACATTTGTGGGAAGAGATGATGGAAAAGCTCAATACCATCAGTCAGAACAAGGTAAGGCACCGACTGTGGAACAGACCATCAATTGCTCATATGCAAGTTCCAGCTGAAGGTAAAGAAAATTAGAACAAGTTCACGAGAGCTTTGAGTATATCCCACCTGAATTTAGAGATCATCTCAAAAATAGACTTGATGCATGGAACACTAATGACGCAAGACCATACGAATTGTGGAATGACATCAAGGACATCATACATGAAGAAAGCAAGAGATCATTAAAAAGACAAGAAAGAAACAAAAGACCAAAATAGATGTTAGAAGAGACTGAAACTTGCTCTTGAACGTCGAGTAGCTAAAGCAAAAGGAAGAAATAATGAAGTAAGAGCTGAAGACTTCAAAGGGCAGCTTGAGGAGCAAATTAAAGTATTACAATAAATATGCAAAAACCTGGAGTTAGAAATCCAGAAGGGAAGAACATGCTTGGCATTTCTCAAGCTGAAAGAACTGAAGAAAAATTTAAACCCCGAGTTGCAATACTGAAGTATTCTACAGGGAAAATATTGAATGAAGCAGGAAGCATCAAGAGAAGATAGAAGGAATACACAGTCACTGTAGCAAAAAGAACTGGTCGATGTTTAACCATTTCAGGAGGTAGTATATGATCAAGAACCTATGGTTCTGAAGGAAGAACTCCAAGCTGCACTGAAGGAATTGGCGAAAAACAAGGTTCCAGGCAATGATGGAATTCTTAACTGAGACATTTCAACAAACACATGTAGCAGTGGAGGTGTTCACTCGTCTGTGCCAAGAAATTTGGAAGAGACTTAACTGGCTAACTGACTGGAAAAGACCCCTATCTGTGACCATTCCTAAGAAAGGTGATCCAACAGAATGTGGAAATTATTGAGCAGTATCATTAGTATCACACACAAGTAAAATTTTGCTGAAGATCATTCATAAGCAGTTGCAGCAGTACATCAACAAGGAACTGCTAGAAATTCAAGACAGATTCAGAAGAGGATGTGGAATGAGGGATATCATTGCTGATGTCAGGTGGATCATGGCTGAAAGTAGAGAATACCAGAAAGATGTTTACCTGAGTTTTACTGACTATGCAAAGGCATTTGACTGTGTAGATCATAACTTATTATGGATAACATTTTGAAGAATGGGAATTCCAGAACATTTAATTGTGCTCATTAGGTACCTGCACACAGACCAAGAGGCAGTTGTTCTAACAGAACAAGGGGATACTGTGTGGTTTAAAGTCCGGAAAGGTGTGCATCAGGGTTGTATCCTTTCACCATACTTATTCAATCTGTATGCTGAGCAAATAATCCCAGAAGCTAGACTACACGAAGAATGAGGCATTAGGACTGGAGGAAGACTCATTAACAACGTGCAATACGCAGACGACATAATCTTGCTTTCTGAAAGTGAAGAGCACTTGAAGCACTTACTGATGAAGATGGAAGACCACAGCCTTCAGTACGGATTACATCTCAACATACAGAAAACAAAAATCCTCACAACTGCACCAAGCAGCAACATCATGATAAATGGAGAAAAGACTAAAGTTGTCAAGGATTTCATTTTACTTGGATCCACAAGGAACACCCATGGAAGCAGCTGTCAAGAAATCAAATGACGCATCGCATGGTGCAAAATCTGCTTCGAAAGATCTCTTTAAAGTGTTGAAAAGCAAAGATGTCACTTTAAGGACGAAGGCACACCTGACCCAAGCCATGTTTTCAATCGCCTCATATACATGTGAAAGCTGGACGATGAATAAGGAAGACTGAAGAAGAACTGACACCTTTGAATCACAGTGTCAGCAAAGAATATTGAATATACCATGGACTGCCAGAAAAATGAACAAATCTGTCTTACAAGAAGTACAGTGAGAATGCTCTTTAGAAGCAAAGATGGTGAAACTTCATCTCACATACTTTGCACATGTTGTCAGAAGGGACCAGTCCCTGGAAAAAGACATCATGCTTGGTAAAGTAGAGGGTCAGTGAAAAAGAGGAAGATCCTCAACAAGATGGACTGACACAGTGGCTGCAACAATGGGCTCAAGCGTAACAATTGTGAGGATGGTGCAGGACCAGGCAGTGTTTCATTCTGTTGTACACAGGGTCACTATGAATTGGAATTGACTTGATGGGACCTAACAACATTATTATTAGAATTATTATAACTGTCATCTATTTCAACCCATTTCATAGCTGCACAGTATTCCAGGTTTGAAATGCAAGTGTTACACATAGAATTTGATTGGCCTTTGTTCCTGGTTCCTGGGAGGTCGCCTTTAAACCCTTGGAATTTTTTCAGCTATTGGAGCATCTTTGTCATTCATGATGATCCCCTGGTACCACACCTGGTAGTTTATAACAAGATGACTTAGGATGGAGGCAGGCCACACCAGAGAGACCACCCTATGATCAGAGGTTTGGAGATTTGACTCACATGATACCACAGCCCAACTTCCAGGATGGGGGCGTGGCTTACTTTTGAGTTCCATCAAGTGGCCTTGATTCAATCAATCATGACTATGTAATGTAATCCCAACATTCTATACACCAAAAACAGGTGACTTTCTCTCGCTGACAATATTCTTTGCACTGTTACACACAGATGGGCCAGGATTGTGAACTGTCCTTGCGGAGAAGGGAAACTTCCTGAAGGGGACAATTCCTAACCTTGCCCTATGCCTCTCTACCTTTGACTGGATTTAGAACTTCTGTCCTATAATAGAACCGTTATTGTATGTATAGTATTTCTTGAGTTCTGTCAGGTATTTTAACAAATTATCGAACCTGAAAGACTAGTGAGAACCCCAGTATTTGTAGTCACTTGGTCAAAAGTGAGGCTGTTGCAGTTTGTGTCTGAAGTAAGAGCAACCTTGTGGAGAACTGTTGCAGTAACCTGTGAAGTCTGGCTTATTTCCAGGTAGATGTCATTTGTACCACAGAACTGACGGTGTATATTTATCAGTTCTAAAAAAATGCAGAATGTCATTTTATGTAAGTCTTAGCTCCTGTCAGATTATAGAAGATAAATTTCAAATGAAAATCAAAATGGCAAAAAATAAGCATATTTAAATTGTGATGATATAATAGATTTTCTTCCTTCTTCCTTCATCTTTCAAAAGAGTTATGTATTCCTGACTCAACATAAGATGGCAAAATGGGTTAAAAAATTTTACATTCATTTGATGATCCGATAAGGAAAAACAATTCATTTTTATAAATCTCATGTATTCAACTGTAAATGAATACCATCATCTTTTCCTATATTCATTGGCCATCTTTATTATTCCCTCTTAACTTGTCTATTCATGCCCTTTGTCTGTATTCCTATTGATATTTTCCTTTATACTATGGTACCGTAATAGTTCTACAATAAATTTTATGTCTATTTCTGGCATATAGATGGTAAATATCTGTACCCCAAGTTGTAGTTTTTCTTATAACACTGTGTAGTTTTCTCCCCATGGAGGAATTTAAAAATTTTATATGACAACCAGGCTAATCATTTTACTTGCCTGGATGGGGCTCTGAAGGCGTCAGAGGAGGTGGACATTGGGAGAAAAGAGGTATACAGTGAGGGGGAGCAGCGTCACCTATAGAAATCCTCACTCAGGACGTCACTCCAGGCACCCACACTACTGGATGCAGGTCCCTATAAGATGAGCTCTTTCTCGTTCCTCTTCTCTTCCATTGAACAGAATGCCTAATTCCTGTGACCCTGAGTTTTCCTGTGGGAATCTGAGTAAGTTTCTCTTATTTCACACGTTAACAATGAAGAAGACAACAAGCACACCCTACCTGAGCTGCTCTGAGGAGTAAATACAGTGAAAGAACACAAGTACCTGGCAAATCTTCTAGTATTATGCTAGCAAATTCTAAAGTAAGTTATGTATTACGTTGAGAAAATGAAATAAAACAGAAAGGGAAAAATAGACCATTAAATAAAACACACCCAAGGAATGACTCCAGCAAAGGAGAGCAGAACCCAGGCCCTGCTACGTGAAAACATCCAACAATACTGGTGTGAAGCAGTAGTGAGGCCCTGTCACACTGTGCCATGTTTGTATAGTCTATCTACCAGACACCCAATGTAACAAAAGAAAAAGTACTTCGACATATGGTACACTGGCCGAAGAAAAGGAGAATTTTTTTCAGAATCGAGTTTAAGGGAAAAATATTTTATACAAGAACAATCTCATTATAGTCTTATTTAAAATAATAAGATTCCTGGATATCTACGATACAACTATTGGTCTCTACTTGTCCGAAGCAAAAGTGAAAAAAGAGAGCCAAAGACTCAAAGAAGAAACTAGTCTAAAGAACTAATAACCCATTGCCGTCGAGTTGACTCTTGACTCATAGCGACCCTCAAGGACAGAGCAGAACTGCCCCAATAGGGTTTCCAAAGAGCGCCTGGTGGATTCGAACTGCCGACCTTTTGGTTAGCAGCCGTACAACAGAACAGTATTAAAAAACGACAGCCTCATCTACTCTGAGGCCAGAAGAACTAGATGGTATCCGGCTACCACTACTGATCCTTCTGTTGAGGGCCACAACAGATGAACCCCGACAGAATAGGAGAAAAATGGGAAACACAAACACAAATTCCTAAAACAAAAAGACTTACTGGACAGGTTGAGAACGGAATGCTCCCTGAGAATACTGACCTGAGATATTCTTGAAACCTTAAATGGAAAACTCGTCCCAAAGATCACCTTTCAGCTGAATAAAAGAATGACTCACAGAATAAAGAATATTATCTATGAGTACTGTGCTCCTTTAAAAAAAAAAAAGTCTATATGAAGCCAAGTGATCAACAATTACTTTAAAACAAAGGTGAAAATGTAATGGCGCAGGAAAGCAGATTAATAGAAATGAATAACCAGAACACAGATATTGAGAATGTGCACATATGGTGAAGAATGTAACCTGTTTCACAGGACAATTTGTGTATAAACTGTTGAACAGAAATGTAAATTACTGTGTAAGCCTTCACCAAAAACACGGTAAAGTATTACCATAAAACGACAAAATTACTATGCCACTTAAACGTCTAAGACTAGGAAGTAGTTAAAAATACAGAAGTGTAATAACAGTTCAGGTGGAAAATGATGCAACAACAAAACTGTCACAACAGTGAACGACAAATGGACAATTTAAAATTAAATGTATATTCTGAATACAAATAATTTGTAAAATCATAAGTGGAACATTATATGAGGAAATCAAAATTTAATTAGTGACTATGAAAGTAATAAAAGTGTGAAAATTACTCATTCCTATTCCTTCTTTTACTCTGATTTTTGAGAAAAATTGACAAATAAATAAAATAATAAAACTAAAAACAAATCCAAAGTCAGCCAAAAACATACAAAGCAAGTACCCGGCAAATAACAGGTCCACAAATGTCTGCTGTTCTCCTTGAGTAGTGAGAAAGAATTTTAAGAGAGAAAAGGTAAGTCCCACTTACCATGAATGTGCTCATTTTTCTTCCTACTTCTGGTGACGTACAGAGTCCTGAGATACGCAGAGTCTTGCGAACGCCCAACTAGGGAAGGAGAAGGAAGACATGAAAAGGTGGCCTGCGATGTCACTCACCTTCACAGAGGCTTACTGTGAATTAGCCAAGAGGACCCTCGTCTGAGTGGCTGTAGCTGTACACCGCTTGACGTGCAGAGCATGACGTGGACACCAGATGACCTTAACCTCTTTTGTTCCAGGTTCAATGAACACTCTGCACAGCTACACACAGTGGCCCCATCACCAGTGTTGTCCTGTGGCCCCCAAGGTAGCACCTGTGATTCTGGTATGACAACACTTCAGACAATATAATATACGGAATAAGAGTCAGCTCTGGGGTCAATATACACACGGGGGTTGAGATCCTGCCATGACTTCGCACCAGCTGTGTCATCTTGGACAAATTAATAACACCTCTTTGCTTCATTTCTGTCTTTTGTAAAACTGGAAGTAACAGAGTCACTACTGACAGGACTGTTGTAAGGTGGGAAGCTATTAGAACTCTATCAGGGTTCTTATTTCTCTGCAGCTATAGAAAAAGCACACGATATTCTGCAGTAGGCAATTATCCTTACAGATTTAATTTCTACCAAAATAACATGGTCATGTACTTGGACTTCTGATGTGACTGCTGCCGAGTGAAGGTCACATGTACCCGCTGAAAATACATTAAATGGGCTTTACTGTATTCCCTAATACTGTTGCCTTAACAATAATATTTAAATTGGCATAGACAATTATTTTCTAAAAGGTATGAAAAACAAGTGATTTTCTGTCATTAAGCAAAAAGGTCCTAAAAAGGACTTTCTATGCACATAAAAAAGTACAACACAAATGCTGGCAAATCTTACAGTATCCCTGAATGTTTTCAACCAGGGTTATTCATTTCCATGATCAAAATAATTGAAACATGTAGGAACAAAATACATCAATATGCTAGGAAAAAAAAGAAAACACATTCATTTCTAATTTTTTTTAAAAAACACAATATTCTGGAAACAACAGTTTAATGAAGCCACTTTGGAGAACAGTTTTGCAAATAGTTCAACATGAAACTACCACTCAACATAGCAACTTCTTGCCTAGGTTACCCACCCAGGAGAATGAAAGCACATTTCCTCTTAAAGACTTGCATTGTATGTTGATAGCAGCATTAATCATAAAGGACCAAAACTGAGAAGAGTGGGTTCTGAGTCTATAATTATATAAAATTTGTATCTGAATGAATAAACAAACACGGGAGAAGTTGGTCTTTACAGCAGAATGCCAATAATAAACGTACCTCCGCAAAATTTATTATCTACAAAAGATAAAATAGTAACTTTTCAACAGAGAATTTTGACAGCCTTCACCTAAACCACGAGAACAAAGCTGAGATTACCAATACTGGGACAAACCCACATTACTGGCCTCTTCATGTGCTGCACTGGAAATACACCTCAGCACTTCTGTGGTGTTGCTACCAATAATACATCATCTGAAGAGAAACATGAAAAATACCAAACAACCCCCAAATGAAGGCCTTGCCCTAAACCACCTGCCCCCATTTTTCAAAAACAAGAAGAAAAAAAGAAAACAAAGGAAGATTGAAGAATCACTCCAGATGAAAGGAGAGCACAGACATGTAACGACTAAAGGTAATACATAATTTAGACCCTGAACCGAGAGGAAAACCTTAATAGAAGACGTATTTTGGGACAAGAGAATGAATTTAAATATGGATTGTGGATTAGATAACAGTACATTATCCAATATGTCACCTACTATTATCTAAGAGATAACTATATTAACTATTTTTACCTACTGTAACATTTAAAAGCGCCTAGTATACTGTTGTTGTTAGGTTGACACTGAGTCAGCTCCGACTCATAGCGACCCTATATACAGCAGAATGAAACGCCGCCTGGTCCGGCGGCATCCTCAAAATCGTTATGCCTGAGGCCACTGTTGCAGCCACTGTGTCAATCCATCTGGGTAAGTATCTTCCTCTTTCTCCCTGACCCTCTACTTTACCAAGCATGATGTCCTTCTCTAGGGACCCATCCCTCCTGATAACATGACCAAAGTATGTGAGACTTAGTCTTGCCATTGTTGCTTCTAACGAGCATTCCGGTTGTACCCTTTCCAAGACAGATTTGTTCATTCTTTTGGCAGTCCATGGTACAGTCAGTATTCTTCGCCAACACCACAATTCAAAGGTGTCAACTCTTCTTCCATCTTCCATATTCATTGTCCAGCTTTCACATGCATATGAGGAAACTGAAAACACCGTGGACTGGGTCAGCGCATCTTAGTCTTCAAGAAGACATCTTTGCTTTTTAACACTTTAAAGAGGTGTTTTGCAGCAGATTTGCCCCATGCTATTTGCCTTTGGATCTCCTGACTGATAACGTCCACAGGTGTTGACTGTGGACCCACACAGAACGCAATCCTTGACAACTTCAATCTTTTCTCCCTTTACTATGATGTTGCTTTTTGATGCCAGTTGTGAGGATTTTTCTTTATGTTAAGGTATAATCCACAACGAAGGCTGTTGTCTTTGATCTTCATTAGTAAGTGCTTCAAGTCCTCTTCGCTTTTAGCAAGCAAGGTTGTGTCATCTGCATAACACAGGTTGTTACTGAGTCTTCCTCCAATCCTGATGCCCCATTCTTCTTCATATAGTCCAACATCTTGAATTATATGCTCAAGGTACTGACTGAAAAAGTACGGGGAAAGGATACAACCATGACGCACACCTTTCCTGACTTTAAACCATGCAGTATCCCCTTGTTCTGTTAAAAAGATGTTTTTTTTTTAATTGTTGTGCTTTAAGTGAAAGTTTACAATTCAAGTTAGTGTCTCCTACAAAAATTTTATAGTTATGTTACCCTACTTGCTCTCCCTATACTGTGACAGCACTCTCTTCCTGTCCACCCGAGATTTCCCATGACCATTCAACCAGCTCCTGACGATTTTCTCACCTCACCTCCAGACAAGAGCTGCCCATTTAGTCTCATGTATCTACTTGAGCTAAGCAGCACACTCTTCACGAGTATCATTTTATGTCCCACAGTCCAGACTAATCTTTGTCCGAAGAGTTGGCTTCGGGAATGGTTTGTTTTGGGCTAACATAGAGTCCGGGAGCCATGTCTTCTGGGGTCCCTCCAGTCTCAATCAAACCATTAAGTCTAGTCTTTTTACTAGATTTGAGTTGTATACCCCGCTTTTCTCCTGCTCCATCAGGGACTCTCTGTTGTGTTCCCTATCACGGCAGTCATTGTGATAGCCCGGCTACATCTAGTTCTTCTGGTCTCAGGCTGATGAAGTCTCTGGTTTATGTGGCCCTTTCTGTCTCTTGGGCTAATACTTTCCTTGTGTCTGTGGCATTCTTCATTCTCCTTTACTCCAGGTGGGTTGGGACAAATTGATGCATCTTAGATGGCTGCTCACTAACTTTCAAGACCCCACATGACACTCACCAAAGTGGCATGCAGAACATTTTCTTAACTTTTTTATGCCAACTGACCTAGATGTCCCCTGAAACCATGGTCCCCAGACTCCCACCCCTGCTACTCTGTCCCTTGAAGTGTTTGGTTGTATTCAGGAAATGTCTCAGCTTTGGTTTAGTCCAGTTATGCTGACTTGCCTTGTACTGTATGTTGTCCTTCCCTTCACCTAAGATAAGTCTTGTTACTTTCTAGTTAGTGAATACCTCTCCCTCCCTCCCCACCCTCATAACCATCAAAGAATATTTTCTTCTGTGTTTAAACCTTTTCTTGAGGTCTTGTAATAGTGGTCTTATACGATATTTGTCCTTTTGCAACTGACTAAATTCACTCAGCATAATACCTTCCAGGTTCCTCCATGCTGTAAGATTTTTCTCGGATTCATCGTTGTTCTTTATCATTATAGCATTCCATTGTGTGAATATACCGTAATTTGTTTATCCATTCATGGACTGATGGGCACCTAGGTTATTTCCATCTTTTTGCTATCGTGAACACTGCTGCAATGAACATGGGTGTGCATATCTCTATTTGTGTGATGGCTCTTATTTCTCTAGGATATAGTCAAACAAGTGCGATTGCTGGATCGTATGGTACCTCTATTTCCAGCTTTTTAAGGAAGTGCCAAATCGATTTCCAAAGTGTTTGTACCATTTTACATTCCCACCAACACTGTTTGTGTTCCAGAAAAGACTGCCTCTTGAGCTATGTACAGGTTCGTCATGAGCACGATAAAGTGTTCCGAAATTTCCATTTACCACAATGTTATCCATAATTTGTTATGATCCACACAGTCGAATGCCTTTGCAGAGTGAATAAAACACAGATAAACATCTTTCTGGTATTTTCTGCTTTCAGTCATGATCCATTTGACATCAGCAATGATATCCCTTGTTCCACATCCTCCTCTGAATTCTACTTAAATTTCTGGAAATTCCCTGTGGACATCCCACAGTAGCCGCTTTTCTAATGATCATCAGCAAAATTTTACTTGCATGTGATATTAATGATATTGTTCAATAATTTCTGGATTCGGTTGGATCACCTTTCTTTGGAATAGGCATAAATATGGATCCCTTCCAGTTGGTTGGCCAGGTAGCTTTCTTCCAAATTTCTTGGCATAGACAAGTGAGCACTTCCAGCGCAACCTCTGTTTATTGAAACATCTCAACTGGTATTCCATCAATTCCTGGATCCTTGCTTTTCATCAATGTCTTCAGTGCAGCTTGGACCTCTTCCTTCAGTACCATCAGTTCCTGATTATATGCTACCTCCTAAAATGGTTGAACATTGACCAATTCTTTTTTGGTATAGTGACTCTATGTATTTCTTCCATCTTCTTTTGATGTTTCCTGCGCTGTTTAATATTTTCCCTGTAGATTCTTTCAATATTGCAACTCAAGGGTTGAATTTTTTTTTCAGTTCTTTCAGCTTGGAAAGTGTCAAGCATGTTCTTCCCTTTTGTTTTTCTAACTACAGGTCTTTGAAAATGTCATTTTAGTATTTTACTTTGTCTTCTTGAGCTGCCCTTTGAAATCTTCTGTTCAGCTCTTTTACTTCAACATTTTTTCCATTTGCTTTAGCTACTCAATGTTCAACAGCAAGTTTCATAGTCTCTTCTGACATCCATATCTAGTATATTCCAGCATCCATCTAGTATATTATGCTATGAGAAATTGGTAGTTTAATGGTAGAATTCTTGCATTCCCTGTAGGAGACCCAGGTTTGATTTCTAGGATGCACTTCATGCAAAGATACCACTCTATCATGCTGAACAGGTTTCAGTGGAGCTTCCAGACTAAGAATAACTAAAAAGAAGGCCTGGTGATCTGCTTCTGAAAATCAGCCAATGAAAACCCTGTGGATCACAAGGGAACACTGTCAGATTCACAACTTATCAAGAGAATGGCACAGGAAGAGGCAGTGTTTCATTCCTTTTTGCATGGGGTCACTATGAATTGGGGTCAACTCTAAGGCAGCTAACAACAATGTATTATGCTAAAGCCCTATAACCAGCTCCTCCTGTCTCTTACAAAGCCATCCCATGATATCCTGCTGTGTGGGGGCTTCCTTGCTGCAGCAAGCCAAGTAATCTACCTTTGGTGACAAGTGGCAAGGTTTCCATACCACAGGGCCTGGAAGGTGGTGCCTCTCCCTAGGGCCAGAGGAGCCTACACTCAGAATCCAGACAGCACTGGCAACACCCAGAGTCTGAGGGTGGGGCCATTGCCCAGATGGTCTGGGAAGAACAAAGGATTCTTTTCAAGCCTTGAGAGCTACTGTAATTTATTCTGCTTGGTTTTGGACTTGCTTGGTTCCTGTTATTCCTTCTTTCCTTCCAATTTTCTCCCATTTTTCATTAAAATATCGACCTTGTGAGTGTTCCAACACTGTACTCTAAATGTAGTCTAGATTTCACAGGTTCACACATGAAGAGGAATTTTCCCCCAGGAGAGAATATGCAAGTCTCATCCATACTTGATTTAGGTGACTTAAAAAATGAGATTTTGGACTTAGAGTTCACTTAAGATATTTAGGGAAATGTGATGGGGTGATTTTTTTTTGCATGTGGGAAGGACATAATTTTTGGGGTAGAATGTTATGGGTTGAACTATGTCCCCCCAAAATACGTGTTGTAAATCCTAACCCCTATACATGTGGTTATCATTCCATCTGGAAATGGCTTTTGTTTGTTATATTAATGAGGCACTACTGTAGAGTAGGGTGTGTCTTAAGCCAATTACTTTTTCAGATATAAAAGAACATGTCAGGTACAGAAGCAGCAAGCTGAGCTGGGGGATGACAGATGCCAGGCCACATGAGATCCCCAAGGAACCAAGAAACTTAAGTTGTAAAGCAACAATGACCTTTATCCAGATTCAACAGAGAGATAAAGCCGTCCCCTAGAGCCAGCATCCTGAATTCTGACTTCTAGCCATCTAAACTGTGACAAAATAAACTTCTGTTTATTGAAGCCGCATATTTGTGCTTATTTCTATGATAGCAGCACTAGATAACTAAGACAGATACCTTCTACTGTTTAACAACAGAATTAACTACTTTTACTTAGTACAGCATTTAAAAGCATCCTATATATTATCCTATGAGAAACTGATGGTTTAATGATAGAATTCTCGCCTTCTGTGCAGTAGACCTGGGTTCAATTTCTAAGCAATGCACCTCATGCACCACAGCCACCACCCATCTGTCAGTGGTCATCTGTCAGGCTTCAGTGGACCTTCCAGACTAACACTGACTAGAAAGAAAGGCCTGGAGATCTACTTTCAAGAAGCAGTCAAGGAAAACCCTGTGGATCACAATGAAACATTGTCAGAAACACAGCCAGAGGACTGGCACAAAATCGGACAGTGTTTTGTTCCATTGCGCAGGGGTGACTTAGAGTTGGGGCCAATTCTAAGGCAGCTAACAACTATACATTATGCTAACCTAGGCAGCTAACAAATACAGATCATGCTAAAACGCTATAACCAGCCCCTCTTCATCTCCTCTTAAGATGGCATCGCACCATTCCCCGCTATGTGTGGGCTTCCTAGCTACAGCAAGATACAACAACCTGGCTTTGATTACAGGTATATTCCTGATGGTACTTTGCTGATGGTCACCGACAAAGCAAAGAAGCAAAGTGTAAAGAACAGGTGAATCTGCGTATATGGTATATGAGAGTTGCTCATATTCCTTTGATAACGTTTCCAAAGGTTTAAAATTATATAAAAATAAAACATTAAAAATATGAGGAAGGAGTCCTACTAGTTACAACAGTAATGAAAATAATAAGGATGATGATGACAATATATCAGAGTTCATTACTGTATTCTTTCTTGCAGGAGTTTGGAAATTTCTAGTTAAAAAAGATAAGGGAAAAAACATTAAGGAAAGTATAATATCAATTCTGTTAAATGTTTATATAAAATATTCACAAACAACCACTATACAGAAATGCATCTCAAGTTTTACATTACTTTCTTTCTATTCTAGAGTCATAGATATATAAACGTATTTTTTTTTTCTTTACTTATCTCTGTATTTTCTGAATTCTCCACAATTCTTTGGTTTTATAACAATATGAAACAGCTTTTCCGCTAGGCCGTTCCACTTGGAGGAGGGCCTTAAACAACCATGGCACCTAGCCGGAATGGTGTGATCCTAAAGCACCACTTCCAGAAGGATGCGCAGCGGCGCATGGCCACATGATTCAACCAGCCAGTGTGGAAGATCTGCAGATACAAGGCCTGACAAGCAAAAGCCCAAAGGACCCCGCGTCCTGATCTATCTGTCCGTAGTGCAGTGCCACACGGTGTAGTATCACACCAAAGTCTAAGCTGCCTGGCGCTTCAGCTTAGACAAGCTGAGGGCAGCCAGCACCCACAAGAAGGTAGCCTGGACCATTAGGATCTTTGTGGCAAAACAAGTCCACAGATTCCCTGCAGGCTAACGTGCAGCGGCAGAAGGAGTAACTGCTCCAAGCTCATTCTCTTCCCCCAGAAGCCATCAATCCCCGTAAGAAGGGAGATAGCTCTACTCAGGAACTCAAATTGGCCACTGAGCTGATGTGACCAGAGATGTCCATACGGAACATCTACAAGGAGAAATTCTGGGTCATCACACAGGAAGATAAGGACTTCATCGCCTTTGTCAGTCTTTTCATGGCCTGCGCCAAGTCTCGGCTCTAGGCATCCATGCAAAGAGGGCCAAGGAAACCACCGAGTAGAAAAAGTAAACCTCTGCCAAGAACTTTTAATAACAGAGGAGTCGAGCCTCTCAAAAAAAAAAAAAGATATAAAGCAATGTTTGAAATCAAATAAAATAGTTGAGAATGGTTTTTAAAAACTCAAGAGAAACATTCAAGCCCATTAGCCTTACACTGAAGGTACAATCAATTTGATTCCAGCAAGTTCTCTGTGGCTCATGGAAATATATCAGAGAGATAATGAACTCGGGCTTAGGTCACATACTGCTGAGGTTCCAACCCCAGCCCCACCTCCTACTAGTTAGATGACTATGGGCAAACCAAAAACCAAAATCCGTTGTCGTCCCGTTGATTCTGACTTATTGTGATCCTACAGGACAGAATATAACTACCCTATATGCTTTCCAAGGAGCACCTGGTGGATTCGAATTGCCAACCTTTTGGTTAGCAGCCTAGCTGTTAATTACTGCACCACCAGTGCTCCCTGGGTAAATAAGTCATTTTTAAAACAGTGAAAAAACAGCACCACTTCACAGAGCCATGGTGGGGAATCATGTAGTGTTAAAAATATTCAAAATTCAAGGAAATTGAAACAAGGTTTACTCTGAGCAGTTATTCTAAATGCATATAGGAGACCATTTTGAGTCCAGAAAAAGTAAATGACTTGAAAATCCAGTTACTATGAGACTTTTAAAGACAGAGAAGAACAGAACATCAACCACTGGTCAATGTCAACATAACTGATTGAACACCGGCCTCCCCTTTCACTGAGATCAAATGATTTATCAGGG